GGGGGGGGCAAGAGGCTGACTCTGTAAACCGCTTAGAGAGGGCTGGAAAACACGGGGAAGCGGTCTATAAGTCTTAAGAGCGATTGCTATATCATTTTAGACAAATGGTTGCCCAATCTCTTCTTCAAAACCACTAGTGTTGGAGCATCTATCTATTCCGGCGCTTCAGGGGTCTCGGAAGCATTTGGCCCCGCCCACCTTGTCCCAATCGCCTGGAGTCGGGAGGTCGCTGCAAGAGCCACCCACCTTCCTCTCGGGTCCCTTAACTCAGGGCTCTCCAAACCTTGACAACTTCAAGACTTGTGGACTTCAACTCCCAGAATTCCTCAGCTGAGGAATTCTGGGAGTTGAAGTCCACAAGTCTTGAAGTTGCCAAGGTTGGAGACCCCCCCCCCTGCTCCAACTCACCTCGGAAAAACTCCTCCGACTGCAGCGTGCTCTTGAAGGCGTGGCCCTCCAGCTGGGCGCGGATCTCCTTGAGCGCCGAGGTGACGTCCGACTGGACGGCGGGCAACTCGCGCATCTCGAAGACGGAGGCGGGCCCGCCGCCTTGGATCTGGCGCAGCAGCTCGCCCACCTCGTCGCCGTGGCTGCGGCGCACGAAGAGACTCTCCTCGCGGAGGGCGGCCAGCTTCCTCTCCAGCTCGCCTTTGGTCATCTGGGCCTGCTCGGTGAATTTAAGGAGGGCGCGGGCGGCCGCCTCGTTCTCTTCGCGCAGCCGGGCCTCGTCGTCCAGCCGCTGGCGCAGCGCCGCCACATCTTCCTCCAGCCGCTCCTGCTCCAGCCGCAGCTGCCCCTTCTCGTTGCTCGCCCGCACCAGCGCGCCGCGCATCTCGCGGATCTCGCGCTCGTACAGCTCGCCCAACGCGGAGCGGCCGGCTTGTTGCTGGCGCAGGGCCGCCGCCTCGCCTTCCAGCTGCCGGTTCTGCATCTCCAAGGCGCGCACCTTGTCGATGTAGCCGGCGAAGCGGTCGTTGAGCGCCTGCAGCACCTCCTTCTCGTTGCGCCCTCCGCGCAACTCGCCGTTCAGCGGGCCCAAAGACTCCAGGCTCTCGGTGGACGAACCCAGCTGGCGCCGGGAGGCCGAGGCCGAGCAGCGAGACCAACCCTGCGAGTGGAAGCCGCTGGAGGACAAGGAGCCCATCCCGGAACGCGAGAGCCCCGCCGGCCCGGCTGAGCGCAAACCGCCGCCGGCATCCTTGCGGAAAACAACCGGGCCGCCGCCGCCGCCGAACAGCACCTCCGCGCCGTAGCTTAGCATCTCGTCGTCGGAGAGGACACTGCGGCAGCCGGCCAGCCGGGGCCGCTTATATGCAGCCCGGAGCCGCCCCTCCGAGGAGGAGGAGGAGGAGGAGGAGGAGGAGGAGGAGGCTCGCCTTTCCACCCGGCGGGGGCGAACCAGACAGCTTCCGTATGTGCAACCTCTCCTCGGAAGCTCCAGGGCTCAGGGGGGCTCCCCTCCACCCAGCCAGCTCCCCCAAACTAGAGGCGCAGTGCAGAGGTAGACCAAGGCTTTTCCCCACCACCACCACAAAAAAAAAAACCCTCCCGAAGTTGGGAAAGCTGCCGCAAACCCGCCCAGGGTTCGCCCCGATCTAGTCTGGCTTGAGGTGGGACGCCCTTAGCAGTAAGGAAGAGACGTGGGGGTTGGGACCCGGAGTTGGAGATCCATATCTCTTGTGGAACTTGCCTGGATAGCGTGGGGGCGGTTTCCACACACACACACACACACCCGAGCCCCCACCCAAACTACATGGGAGGGTTATTGCCCAGGAAAACGAATGAGGAATGGAGGGGGGGAATGCGATGCAGATGGACACACACGCACACACACATCCCATCTGACGAAGGAGTTTTCCCCAAACTTTTATTAATTCAGACGCAGTTGTCCTGTTATAGAAGGATTTGGACTTCCTGCAACCAAACAAAATGTACCCCTACTCAGAGTAGCATCCAAAAAATACACACACTTATCCCCAGAGATGGTATTCAGCCTGTTCGGACTAGTTCTGGAGAACCAGTAGCGGATATTTGGAGTAGTTCGGAGAACCGGCCAATCCCGCCTCTGACTGGCCCTGCCAGCCCCATCTTTTCTATGCCTCCCATCGAGTCCCAGATGATCGGCTGGGCCTCCTTTGGTTGCCCTGCCCAGGAGAACGGAGCTGGAAAGCAGGTTAGTGGGGTGGAGGGAATGAGGATTTTGCAGTATCCTTCCCCTGCCACGCCCACCAAACCACACCCACCAAACCACACGCCACGCCCACCAAGCCACATCCACAGCTGATTGGCTGGGTCTTCTTGGGTTGCCCTGCCCAGGAGAACAGAGCTGGAAAGCAGGTTAGTAGGGTGGGGAGGGAATGGGGATTTTGCAGTGTCCTTCCCCTGCCATGCGCCTCTCCATTCCCTCTTTTGAAGATGGTTAATGGCAGCCTTAACTTGCATTTGTCCAAGCTAAACATTTGAAAGCTGGTTGGGAAGCGGAGAAAAAAAACTGTTTGCACGTGCTCAGAGGCACTGCAGTGTTTATGGTATAAAAAGTGTGCCGGCTCTTTCACTGGTTCTCAGAACGGAGTAACAGCAAACAATCCCTTGTTGCCACAATGAACTGATGATGTTACCTAGACTGGTAATGAAATGTCTGTAAGAAAACCACCAAGCCCAGAGAACACCAAGGACCCCACAGCCCTCCTCCTCCTCCCCCTCCCCCCCCCCTCCTCCTCCTCCTCCCCTCCTCCTCTTCCTCTCCTCCCCCTCCTCCCTGCAAACTCCACTCCTTATTAGCACTGATATTGCTACCCAGTTTGGCAATGAAACATCTGCAAGAAAACCACCAAACTTAGAGAGCATCAAAGACCCCACAGTCTTCCTCTTCCTCCTCCTCTTCCTCCTCCTCCTCCTCCTCTCTGCAAACCCACTCCCTTACTAGCACTGATGATGTTACCCACTCTGGTAATGAAATGTCTGTAAGAAAGCAACCAAATTCAGAGGGTACCAAGGACTCACATGCCACAATAAAGTCAGAGGTTCAAAGAGATTTTTACTAGTCTTTTGGGTACCCAGGAGTCAGAATGGACACAGTTTAAGGGAGAAAAAGATTTGTGGGAAATTTAAAATGGTCAGCAAGGAAAACAGAATGCTACAGAGCTGTGATGCTCTTTCTTTTTCCTGTTGGTCTTTTGGGGAAATTGGGTTCTTGTTAATCATATTAGAGAAGCATTTTTCCACCGTCATTATCTTCCTCCTGCATGTCTGTCTTCCTCTCCTAAGTGGTTAATCATGCATAAAGCAGCCATTCTCAACCATGGCAACTCTATGGTGAATGGACTTCAACTCCCAGAATTCCCCACACCATATCCACCCCGGTTACATTTTCAATTCTGGTTTTGTTTTTTTTAATACTTTTTCTCTAATTTTTTAATAAAATTAATTCTCCAAAGCCCCTGTGAATTGGAAGAACATAAAACCAAAAAATAATGCTTAGAAATGCAAGTCATTTTGGAATTGGCAAAGAGAAGAGGTTTCTTTTCGCAATGTAGCTTTCATCATTCGGATTCCGTGCTGGGAGAAAAAAAAATCTTTGGAAGGGCAACCGCAGGAAAACCTCATAAATATTGAAAATCTCTCCCCCCCCTCTCTCTTTTTCTGTCTCACTCCCACACCCACGCACCTGCATAGACGTGTACACAAATAGAGACAGGGCCTGTTTTATGTCAGCTACACAATGCAGTGCTGTGCACAATGACTTGCAACTGGTTTTGTCTCCTATCTTCATTATTCCAATATTTGAGGGGCTGCCACAAAGAAGAGGGGGTTGGTCGGCCCATTCTCCAGAGCACCTGAAGGCAGGACAAGAAACAAAGGATGGAAACTAACCAAGGAGGAAAGCAACCTAGAACTATAGAATAGAACCAAGAAGAGAAGAGGGAAGGGAAGGGAAGGGAAGGGAAGGGAAGGGAAGGGAAGGGAAGGGAAGAGAAGAGAAGAGAAGAGAAGAGAAGAGAAGAGAAGAGAAGAGAAGAGAAGAGAA